CACTACACATATGGCTTCCCAGCTTACTTTATCTGAATCTTTCTGAATCTATTCTCCATGCTATTAAACTGAGCACATTCCACATCATTCAAAAGTAATTACACTTTTGTCTAGAGTATAGGAGACTGCTCTCCCTAAACAATGAAATTCTCATTATTAGAACTGGCACAATAACCACACTGGTGTTAACAACAGTATGTATTATACCATCACGATAACTTACGCTAAGTTTGATGTACAAAGGTAACCAGAATTTTAAAAGCCTATAAAAACTCCTATATAGAAATAGGAATCTTCACCATACCATAATTAAGGTCCTATTCTGTGACTTATTTTTAAATAACACATGCATTTCTCTTTTTTCTTTTGTATATTATCTGAACAGGACTTTATACGTAACATTATCCTCGTCAAACATTGCAAATACATTACTAATAATATTAGGTTATAAGCAAAGTATATAAAGAGTATTTCAAGACACAACTATAAGATAGCAATTAAAATTATTTGGGGGTAAATAAATAATCCCAGGAGTTGACAGTGAACCTGAGTAAGTAAAAGCCTCTCTCTGACATGCATTCTATGAATCCTTCACTGTTTAAGGCTGGATTTTACACACTGGAGCCTTGCTGTAATGTTCTACTTGGTTCCCAGCTATATACCCAACTTCTACAAAAGATCTGATTTAAAAAGACACTTTTGTCTTCTTTTGATGGATGTCAGGAAGAAACTGACCCACACTGAATGTTGCTTTATGATAACTAGTGTCTCTGCAATGTTTAAACACATTTACATTAAGATAAATCAAATTATTAAGCCCCAAACACTATGTATCCAGAGGTTTTTTTTAAAACAATTCCAGGAAAATATTATCAGTATAAACATTAAATGAGATACTAAAACATATTAAAACTTATTTCCAAATCCAATGGATCTTTAAATGTTAAAAAATTATACAAAAACACAGTCTTTATTTCATATGAGATTCAGCTATCTATAAAGTGAGCAACTCAAGTTATTTTTTAATAAGAATACTGTACTGTTAAAATAAATAATTACATATTTTAAAAATCAGTGTTGGGAGGCGGCCACTCTATAGTTATACAAAACAATTCATTCAACTCAAGAGGATTTTAAGAAGTCAAAAGAGAGTTTGGCTAAGATAAGTGTATATCTTCTGTGGAAAAGAAAAAAGAGACAATTGACTATTCAGTAACCACAGGTGGTCAAGCCTTTCATTTCACATCACGTTTGACACTAGAACAACAATCTAACCAGCAGAAGTAGTATGCAACCAGACAGAAAACAAGCACCAAAATGGCGACCACAGAGTCCCTTGGCTGCCTCTCACTTTCTGGTGCTCATATAAATCACATTGATTGACATGAAGATATGTTCTCAATAGTTCTTTGCATCATGAAATAAATTCATTTGTATCAGAACTATTATTAAAAATGAGCCAGAAATTATAGTGATTCTTGCTTGTCTCTGAAACTCTAAAGTGACAGCCTCCAAACCCATGTTTAAAAAGGGGGGAAAGGGACAGGATGGGTAGATCTGATCTTCTGTAAAAATAAAGTCCCAAACTGCCTTTCCACTCATGTCAGAATCAGACTTTACAACCTTGCCTTTCACCTTTTTGAAGATCACATGGGAATCAAAATTTGCCATTAATTGCTTGGCAAGATTATGAGAGCTTGAGAGAAGGAAACCACGGAATCAGTCTTTTTCATATCTATGTCTCAATCTTATACTGGCTAGAAATCTGACAATTAAAAAAAAACACAGCTTAAGACAGTTGATCTGTAATGCACCCTGAACTGAATAGTAAGTAAACCATTCCAAGAATAGATAGACTTATAGTATTCATATCAGTACAGCTAATGGAAGTTGCTCTTAGTAAGGCACTTTATTTCTCCAAAATATTCAGGCAATAAACACAACTTCAGAAGGGAAGAATTACATCTTCATTTGACCCAATTCCAAACACCTGCATACCTTGCATGTGAACAAACAACCCTAATTCCTCAAAATCTTTATATGGCAACAGTTGTGAAGTGTACAGAACTTTTATCTCAGAAAATATTTTCCAACCTAAATGTTATACTGAGAGCATCTCTCCATAACTTCAAGCCAGCCTTACAGGGATTACTCATCAGTTTTACTTTGTCTCTAAACTATATTGGCAATATAAAATGTGGACCTCTCATTCCTTTTTTAATTTAGGAATAGAGTATGAATGTCACATATAAATAGGCAATGAAATCTGGAAACCTGTTTTTTTTTTCCTTAAATTGAACTCTATGATATGGAGACCATGAAATATTGTCTCTGTTTTCAAATATACTGAACAGAAAAAAAAAAAATGTATTTTCCTACTGAAATAAAAGTTTCTGTTAAGTGAACATTACAATGGCCTACTACCCAGATAAAGTACAATGATTTGTGTTGAATAACAATTCTATGAATATATTCAATCATTTTGATAAATGAATAAAATATATCAATCAGCTTAACTGGTGAATATATATCATGGCTACTACACATACTTTCTGCTGAGTATACTACATTAATACATTCTATTTTAGTTCTTAAATTTCTAGAAAATCAGCATGTTCACCATGAATAGTCTTAACGACTTTGCCCAAAACATATTTACTATTTAAACATCCATATGAATTCTGCCATTTAATCAATAATCATACATTGTCTATATATGCTAAGTATCAGAAATACAAATATATATTATATTCTATATATTCTATATTAATTTATATTAATATATAGTGATTGTATATTAATATTCTATATCAATATAACATATAATATAATCATACATAATTATATTTGCATATAATTCATTTCCTATTCCTTTCCTATTACCTTCCTATTCACCAGGAAGGTAAAATATGAAAAGAGAGCGTTTTCCAGGTAGAAAGAATAAAGCTGTGTCATGCAGGGTCAGCTGGTATATTTCTGAACATGCATGAAAAACTTGGCACAACAAGAACAGTGGGTCCATGGCAAGAAATGACAGGAGGGAAGACCAAGGCCATAGTTTGGGGCTACTTTATACAGAGTTTTATGCTAAGACAATGAGTTTTAGACTAATTCCTATAAAAACAAGGACACACAGTTCCCAAAGTAAACAATCCAACTCAATTGTCAGGGAAACAAGTCTTGTGGATATTGAAAGAAAGATGGGAGAGAGGAGAGGCTAAAAATCTGAGATCATATGAGAGACTTTTCCAACTGTCTACTTAAGAGATGAAAACCTGATGGAATCAAGAAACATTTCAGGCAGGAACAAATTTAGAAACCAATTAGATATATGTAAGAGCAAGTGTCAGCATGTCACTAAAATGTACTTAAACCATTTGTATCCTGAGATCGGTCTGAGAATCTGATGAAAACCATAATCTTACTCACTCGTATGCATAATACAGAATTATCCATTCATTTTCAGAAGATCCCATAGGCCCTGCCTAAGAACTGTTGCTCTACATGAAGTTGCTTGAGGGAAGGAGTTGTATTTTATTCAAATCTGTTTCCATAGTGCCCCACAATAACAACAAGAAACTTGGTACAAAGTAGGCAATTCATAGTTTGTATCTAGTTGAACTGAGTTCTTCCTTACAAACTGGTTTCATTTTCACTAACATCCTGCATCACAGGATCCGTCATTCCAACTACAGAATGTAATTTAATATAATTTTCTTATACTCATCTCTGAGTATACTTAAAATAATCTCTCCTTTATTTTTGTGGTATTCTTCAGGTTATAACTATTTATATTCACTCCTTCAAATCTGTGTGTTTATGCTTAGAGTAGTATCACAGGAAAACCAAACCAAGAAGCGCTCCCTAAGAGAAGGCAATGGTCAAGATACTGAGAGAGAAAGGCATTAGCCGTGATGCAATGCCAAATGGAGAGTATGATCTCCTTACGCTGCTGAACTGTGTGCTACCATTCTCCCCCTTTCTTATCCTAGGTTTAACCTTTATGAGAAGCCCAAAAAGTTCTATCATTGCACATAGGTAATATAAACTCACAGTAGAGAGAAAAAAAGTAGGAATTATGGATAATATGATTGAGCTTGCCAACAAAGAGATAATCAGACAATAAAATATGCACGTACTCTTGTGAAGAGCTTATCATGTTTATAATCATGGACTCCAGAATGTCTGGGTAAACAACCCTGGTTCTCCTCTGTATCCGCTGTGATCTGAAGCAAATTATTTAGCCTCTGTGTGCCTCAGTTTCCTCATTTATAAAATGAGACTAATAATAACACGTCACTGTATTATTGGGAAGGTTACATGAGTTAATATACATAATGTGAATAAAATGCTACATCTATATAAGTGTTACACAGCGTTAGCGGAAATACAATCCTTGAGGGGAAAATCTTGGCATATAGTAATCCACCCAGTGAAATTGTGACCTATGAGGCTTAAAATGTTGAAAGAGTATTTAAATCTAATGTGAGTGACAAAACATAGCATCCATTTCACAGTTATTAGGAGATATCTGATTCTTCTTGTTGATTTAGTTCTACATACAGTAATGCAATAACATAAATAAGTGGGCATATTTCAATACCAAAACATTGATTTATCATGGTGGAGATGTTCAAAGTATGTTGTAACTCCATCTGGAAAAACCTTTTATTAGAAATACTATGACATCTAACTGTCATGCTGACTAACTTTAAATGTGTTACTTGAACATTATTCTTATATGTACATGTGTTTTCTCCTAATTAAATTGTGTCTCAAAAGCAAAATTCATGAAAAACAAAAAAGAGAAAAAAATAGCATGTCATAGACTTCCTACCGGAATCAATTTACTTATAAGGAATTCTAAGATGTTAGGAGTGAATCCTGTGTCTGGCTGTTAGGTAGATGATAATTATAAAGCAAAGGACTGAAGCCAAACTATTAGAAGAGTAGACTGGTCAAAGAGTGAGTGAAGGCACAAGAGACCATGAGAAACCTACCATTGTATTGTGCTGAGAAGTGGGAGTCCTATGGCCACAAGTCTCTTGCGTCAACAGAGAAACCGGCTGAAATTCCTCAGAGTGAGGCTTGTTGGGAAAACTCACATGCAAGGGAAGGTGAAAGGCTGGGAGCCCGTCACTCTCCTCTTCTTCCACTTTCTGTCTGCTTGTCACCATGGCTACCTCTCCATCTGCTTCCCCATACGGAGAGGCTGGTCGCTTGGAAGACATCCTGGAAGGAACAAAAGAGGAGAAAATAATGAAACCTCCACATAAATCCTTAATGCCGTCATTGTGTGGTTAGGGGCCATTGTAACAGAAATGCCTTTTTGTGCTGGCAGAGAGCAGGAAACCATCCAAATACCACTGCAAAGCGCACACAATCAGAAACAATGGCCAAGCAGGTAGCAACAGAACAGTGCTTGTTTGTTGTGAGAATAATACACTAATATAGCACTCTTGTATCCTGGCTTCTTAAACAAGAGAATTCACCTAAGAACACTGCATATTGAAAGACCATTCCATTTTAAAGGGAAGAAAAATACCCATCTAGTTTTACACTTTGATAGACCTTATTGAAGACAGAACATCTATGAATAGCAAATACTGTTGGCAGTTAAAAGAAGGGAAAGAACTAAAATGTCTTTCATCAAAAAATAAACAAAAAAAATGAACGACTGCCATTATAACAAATTTGCATTAAAAGTATGATTATTATGAATTGTAGAAATATTGGTTATAAGGAAACCACAGACTTCATGGCCAAAAGTTTGATATTTGCTTAAAGCTTATTAGGAATTGAATAAATTTTGCAATTGCTGTGAATCTTGAAACATTTGGGAATTTTTGTTTCCTCACCTCCCCATTCATTTTTAATATCAAACATGCAAAGTGGTAAAAAAAAAGTGAAAATATAAAAATATTTCAGTTTTCATTTCCACAATCCTATGAAAGACTTAGATGTGGATTCTCAGACTTTAATTGCCCCTTAGAATACCTAAGTAAGAGGGAAAAATCAAAGGAAGATGTTTTGTTTTGATGAGCTAATGCCTGTAAGGAAATGCACTTAGACACTTAAAAATTAAACACTTTTTTTGGTATTTGAGTCTGACTAAGAATACTATCAGAGGTTAAAAATAATTGGCAAATATTCTTTGTTAAATAGAGTTCCCTTTCCTTTCACTACAAGTTTCTCATAGAAGCAGTATAGAGTTAAAATTTTTAATTAAAAAAAAAAAACTCTCTTGTATTTGCAACTTGATCTGACCTTGGGAAAGTTGTTATTTTTGCTCAACAAACAAAGAGCGTTTACAGAATCATCCATTCTTATTCTAGACCAGTGAGAGAGGAGGCAGGAAAGCATTAACGGCCACACCACTTCTTTCATATATATCACTGATTTTTAAATTTGAAATTTACTACTAAAAAGTCCACACCACTTCTTTCATATATATCACTGATTTTTAAATTTGAAATCCACACCACTTCTTTCATATATATCACTGATTTTTAAATTTGAAATTTACTACTAAAGAGATGCTTCTAATCATTGCCAAATAATACTATTCTTACTGTGAAAAGTTTCAAAAGAACAGTGTTTTCAAGTACTGAAGATACATTATTAAGAAATAATAGCAGAGTAGAAAAAAATTAGGGCTTTGGAATCAGACAAACATGGATTCAAATACTGATTCTGCTACTTAATAGCTGTGAGACTTAGCTTTAATCTATCACAATTTACTCATCTTTAAAGGGAGATATAATATCTACTTGGAATGCTCTTTGAGAATAAACTGTATACCATATGAAAAATGACTTGTAGAGCATTTAGCACAGACACTCAGTAAACAGTAGGTGTTGTTTACTTTAAAACTACAGTGTTACCTAACCCCCCAAAAAAACCCCAAAAAACAAAAACAAAAAAACAAAAAACTCCAAGATGAGGAAAGCAGATTACATTCTAAGAGTTAAACTGTAAAATCAACATGAAATACAAAATGTCCTGATAAGAGAAATGCTCCTTGGTTAGTCATACTTAATAAACTGATCAGATGTATTAGCGAGTATAAAGAAGAAATACGAACAGCAAGAAGTCTTGATCAGCTGAAGAACAGAGAAAGAGGAGAAAATGTTGGTGGCTCATCTAAAAGAGAAGTAGACTGGGCCATCACATTTCAGGCACCTTCAGTTTTTCTGATCTCATTACTAAGGTTTACTCCAAGTATACTCTTAAGTATGGAGAAAGGAAGGAAGGGGCTGGAGCTAGAATAGTCCTAGTCTCACTGGCAATACCACATCTATCACCAAATGGAAAAATTAAACTATATGTAATAACTCTACACACTAGTGATATTAACTTCTACTGCTCTGCTTCCATGCTCTCCAAGCAAACTTCTGATTGTCATGTAGAGAATGGGCTGACAGAACAGATTTAAAATATTTAAGGTCTTTGTGATTTATCAGAGTAAATCAGTAAAAGGACTTTTAATTATTTCTTGTTTTACATGTAGTTTGACTATAAGGAGATTATGCATTTATACATAGCCACAGTATTTATGGTCTGTGTAGGCATTATCACTGTTGGTGAAATTAATAAATTGGTATTCAGTGTCTACCTCAGTCTTATGTACAATAAATCTCTTACTATCCAAAAACTCCAGGCTATTGGCAAAAGCTAGTCTCTGGGTTATTAAAGCAGAAAGCTAGATCAGCTGGCCTTTCCCAAGTTAATGCAGTTCTCTGACCTTCATAGAAAGCATGACTCTTTTGCTGATTTCTACTTTATTAATAGCATTATTAATAATGATTATGAAAATTGAAAGTCCAAAAGTAGACATAAGGTAGATATGGTAAATAGTTAAGACACTGCTACTCTTCTCAAAACATCTAGTCATTTCAATATCTAAATTATCTTTCTATACCACTGGATAAACAGTCTCTTTCTATATATATATATCGTTCTATGGAGCAAAAGCATAAGGTCTAAAACACCTAAAACAATAAACATGAAGGAGTTGTGATGCCAGAAGGCACCTGATCCTAAACAGTTACATATTTCATGATTATTTCAATTCCATTTTCAGATGCTTACAGAATGTTCTTAATGTGCCGGAGTTGAGAATATTTTTATACAACTCAGGTAAAAGAAGTCTTAAAGATTTAAAAAATTTTGCAATAAAAATGCTCATAGTTCAAAAATAGGCTACTAAATCAGAAAAAAAGGCAAATACTTAAATTATGTCGAGAGCTATCAATTTGCTTGATATTTAGTCTGACTCATAGTACTTCTAAAAATGTTGATAACAAATCACCAATAATGTTAATTCTTGAGTTTTTGTTCATCTACCAAACCATTTCATTTTGGACAGAAGAAAGTTCCATTCATTAAAAAACAAAAACAAAGTACTTTCAATGCTAAGTTATTATTTATTCTGGTCTCTATTTTATTTGTTTCTGATTTTTCCTTGTTATTTTCTTCCTGTACTATATTTCAGCTAAGTTTCTTCTTTTTCTAGTTCCTTGTGGTATAATGTTAAGTTTGCTAGTTCCTTGTGGTATAGTGTTAAGTTCAAACATTATTTGAAATGTCTTCTTAAGACAAGCATTTATAGCATAAATTTCATTCTAACATCAGCTTTTGCTACATCCCATAGGTTTTGGAATATTTTGTTTCCCTTTTCATTTGTTTTGAGACATATTTTGATTTGCATTAAAAAATGTCTTACTATTGAAGAGTGTTCTACAAATGTACGATTCCATTGGAATTGGAATTGTACATTTCTACTTTCTGTCGAAGTTTGCTTTATGTTGAAATTCTGTTTTACCCATGCATATTAACAATTGCCGTATCTTCTTAAAAAAACAAATAATATAGGAAGATGTATGATAATAAAAAAAATTCACTGCAACTTCCCATATATTGTTTATATGGGATACGTAGGGTTCCAATTCCTGCACTTGCTTACATGACATACTGTGTTGTCTTGAAATAATCTGAGGATCTAGGCTGGAGCATGCTCTTATGTATTCATCCAGAGATGATTTTTGTCATTCCTGTGGTAGGTGCTAGACTTGCCCATGAATAAAACTCAGACTTCAAAGAATATGACATGAGACAGACAAATATAATCCAGTGTGAAACTAACCTGTGGAGCTATGATGATATAATAGAATCTTAAAACTCAGTTTTGTGTGTGGACAAGAAAATCTTCTTGAAAGGACTGATGTCTAATTTCAGGGCAAAAACACATGTCTAATTTGAACCTTCAAATCATCAACAACCATTTACTGATCACTTACTGTGTGCAAGACCCTTATCTAATGGTAATAAAAACGTGTAATTCAAGTTCTCTGCTTTAAAAAGTTTATGCACTGGTGGAGGAGACTTGGAGAAATAATAATGAAAGACAGTTCAGGTTAAGGGCCAAACGACTGGCCCTACAGCTGAGCACCTGAGGGCTTCATGAGGACCAGGGGATCCTGGAGTATTTCCGGGAATGACTGACCAAGTGGATTTTGGGGGGAGAAGAAGGTCAAATGGAAACTCTGGGATAAATGGAGAGGGAATTTCATGTAGGAAGTGATGATACAAGCAAAGATGCAGAAATAGTCTTAGAAAGTACAATGTAAATTTAAGTTTCAAGCTGACAGGAAAAAAGGACATCGAGGAATATGGACTAAACCCTAGCTTGAGTCTATAGCATTCCTGGACTTGCTGAGTTACATGCATGGAATAGATAAGAAACAGCCTTCCTTATAAGGGGCATCTTGTTTTTACATGGAGTCCCTTTTCCTTTACTTGCCCTTATAGCAATCTGCACAATCAGCCCACTTAGTCCACATGTGAAAGTAATTTAAAAACTCCTGGAGTCTTTGACGATTGGCTAAGGGCTCTCTGTGTGCACTGTCATCACTCTGTAAGTAGGATGTCCCCAGTTGTACTCAGACATGTAGAGCCAACTTAGGGGTAAGGTAAAGCGTACGAGACTGCAACATAAACTAAACCATGGATTCTCAAACTTGGCTGCAAACTAAAATTATATGGAGAGGTTTAAAAAGTACTGCTGCCTGAGTCCCACTGCCAGACATTCTAATGTTGTTGGTTCTGGAATGGAGATGGAGCATCAGAATTTTTTAAAGCTCCCAGATGATTCTAATGCACAGTCAAGGTTGCAAGCCATTTGCACTAGTCAGAATAATGCTCCTCACTCAAGATGTCCCAACTGTGATCCC